TAATTACGCTGAAGAAACGCTTGACATCTGTCGACCGTAGCACACTGTACCTGAAATGGGATGGAGCCAATGCCCGTGGGGTAGCCCACGGGTAAAAAGTCAACTTTTATCTCTGGTTGTCCTTTTGCTGACATTGAACTCGACCATTGTAGTTGGCAATCGGTAAGTCAAGCTCGGACATTTTGGACGTGACTTCTATGAACCACAGTAAGTACTGAAACGTGAAAGTTTACACGGATTTAAATTGGTTCCTTAATGCAGTATGTGAAGTATGATAGGTCATTTAGAACTCAGTAATCACCGAGGACGTATCCGCTGTATCTGAACGATCGTTGACTGCCAGCTGCCTATCACTGCCCCTCGTTGACACCGCGAACAACTCGTGCTTTGTCGCTCATGCCCAATAAGAGATCATCCCGTGATTGTAGGTTTGATGGATGCTTAACAAGAATGGATTCCGATCCAAAAGCAACTCGCGATCCACATTCCCTCTAATTACGGTTAGCACAATCTGCTGCATCCGGATCAATGGGACTATGAAACGAAGTCGGAGTCACTTCTTACATAAACTCGTACACAATCGGAAAGGTTGCAATAACATCACGCTCTATCCCGTTCTCTAAGCTGAAACTTCATCGCTGCATCTGTTCTGCCTTGTATAGTAAATCAATTTCTGTTGCTGTTTTGGGGTATAATATAGTTCAGACGAAATCACTGTACAGTGCCTTTTTCTAGTCAGTTTCGGTTATTTAGTTGCATTTTATTAATGCGTAGAGAGTGTAGAGCACCGCGCATCATCAGCATCTACCACTAGAAGTCATTTAGGGACATAGAGGACACTCTACCCCGGATGCATCGCTTCTTTATTTCCATTTTGCAACTTGTGGTATGTTATCTCAAAATGAATACCATCCCTTTGTCAAGTATCCACTCTTCTAGTCGAACTAGTGTGGCAGTGTGTCAAGTACTCGAAATTTGGGAGCAGTTACTTATCAACTGGCTCGTCCCATGGCTAATTATAGGGTGCGACGGACCGCAGACAGATTGTCTGTCTGTTTAACGTGCTTGAATCCATAGTTCATGCTACTCGACCCAGACCATTTTACGAACTTGTTTTGCATCCATTGATTTGCATCATTCATATGGTCGCCGTGGTGACTGGTCGACTGTTGTAGAAAGAAAGACAATACGACATCGGAATCACTCCTGATCGCGGCTGCGTGACTACCACCGGTCACGCGCTGTCTAAGGCTACTGAGAACTCATCCTGCACCTGCGCACGTTTGAAGTGGCCAAAGGCAAGTTAGTGTGTACCTGCGTATTTATGTTGCTAGAGCCAAACATAGGTATTTAGGAGGAACAATCAGGGATGTCAAGCGCCGTCCGGAGTTAACTCGAGAACGGTTGTGTAGGTCTGTAGTAATGGAGCTATTCAGCCAGTGTCTATCGTGACTATAAAGCGTGTTTCCATTTTGTACTAAAATGGCCGACAAATGTGATGCATCCATCAGTTTTTATACCATACGGGTAAAGTAGTAATTACGCAAACATTGTTTTGGCCCATGTGCTGCACGTGAGAGAGATACTAGTAAAGGTTATTGTCTCACCGAACCCGTGTGTCACAAGGAATCCCTGCCGAGTTGCTTATTGTCTAAAACCTACTCTGTTTTGGACGATGAATTTTTAGTTTCCGTCAGTACGTGGTTCATGGCCAAATTTAAGTTCATATCATGCTGCGTTTCATTCAATCGTTTTTCTTGGTGAACTAACTACTTTGATTCGCCTCAGCCCCACACGATGAGTTGAATACGTAATCAGCACATTTCAAGGGTTTTGCAGTGCACACTTGCCGTCATTTGTAACGTGATATGTATATTACACAAGCCTCACACTGCAGCGATTCCCATTAGTTTTTGAGCAGCGTGACCCCAAAGTTTGTGTACTTTGGTCATTCACATTCATTCCAAATGTTAATTGCAGGTTTAGAAATATCTGTTATTAGGTTGATTGAACGTCTTACCCCATTCGTTTCTTTCGCTTGCAGTCAATGTCCAGAGGACAAGACACACATCAATTGTTCTAAATCTGGGGATATCCTGTTGATTCATACGGAGACATTCATCCCTGTGAATGACTCAGTGTGCACGTCAAAGCGAATTTCCACCCAACGCAGTGCCTGTGAGTAAGCCTGCATGACTGACTCCCGTGTCAATACCTCTGTGATTAGTTTTATCTATATGTGTCTTTTCTTGGCCAACTGCATTCATAGCGTGTTCAAATTCCTCAAGTGAATCATGTTCCTTCATAGAACTCACAACATAATTTTTAAAGGTAACAAGTTGCATTCAAAGGATGCAAACGCTCCTAAAATTGCATGCTGCTTATTGCACGACCAATCTCAAATCAGCTGATAGTAAGGTAGTTTTATTGGGAAGTTTTAAGCCACAAAAGCGAGCTACAGTGTCTTCCATGCTTTTATTTTTCAACATAACCACCCTCAAGCACAACTCACTTGCTCCAGCGGTGCTGAAGCCCATTATCCCAGTGGAAAAGAACTCGTCAGATTGCGACTCCTAAAACGCTTCTGTGCTTTCCATGACGTCAATGTCATTGAGGAAACGTTAGCCAGCTAAAGTTATTTTGAGTTTGGAGATACCTGGAAGCCAGAGAGAGACAAATGTGGTTACTTTTGTCTGAGATGTTGCAGAAGCCCACAGTAATACCTTCCAGTGATGGAATAGCCTTTTCCGAGGAAATCAATCGCTACACCTCGGGAATCCCGAAAACCGGATGCCATCATCTTCCTAGCTGAAGGTGGAATCTTGGCCTCCTTTGGAGTAGGAGATATACGTTTCCATTGCTTTAATTGTTCTTTTCTTTCTGACTGAAACTGCTGAACCCAGCAGTCATCCATAGTAATGAATCCTGCAAGAAAATCATCGGCATCTGCCTCGCACAGTGTTAACTGCTTCCTTGCCACCATATGTCGAATGCGCTTCTGCACAGAAGTCAGAAGATGTGGCACCCATCGAGCAGAAACTTGTAATTAGCTTAACTCCTTTGTCAGAATGTTATCTACTCGCTCCTGGGAGATGCCCAACCTCTCTGCTACCTGACAAGTTGTTAATCAGCGATCTTGCATAGTCATATCCAGTAGTGGGTTAAAATTTTCCTTCGTAGTGGCGGTTGTTGGTCTCCCTGACCTGGGCTCATCTTCAATACTCAACCTGCCATACTTAAACTGCCGCAGCCAACGTGTAACTGTGGCACATAAAGGGGCATTCTCTTGCAATTTACTGAGCATATCTTGGGGGATTTCAAATGATGCATTCCTTTGAGATAGGAAGATTTCATCACTGCAAGTTACTCCAATTTCTCAGTTTATACCAAATTTCCGACCCTGTTCACTTAAAGAATCTGCTGAAATGAAAGTAAAAGTGGTAGAAATATGAATGCATATAATATGAAGAAGTAAGTGATGAATTATAAAAAATAACCTTTATTTGACTTGCTTGGCTGTCTGATTTCTGTTACATGCTCGAAAATGTTCATTTAATTCACGTAAAATATAGTTACACAGAGGTGGCTTCGCACTCGTTGGATGAAATTTGATAGCGTTAAGGACCATTTTGAAAGACCTGTGGAGGAGTGCGATTTCCCTAAGGAGGAATTTGAAGTAATGTGGATGCAAATGACTGAGAAAAGTTATAGTAATCACACATTATCCAGCGATGACGAACACTGAAATCACAGCAGACTCTTGGTACCTTGACATTTGTCCACCAGTGACACATTGATGATCGTGTGGTGATTACGTCGCAGCCACAGCGAGCAGATCTTCCAGTCGATCGTATGTGTGTCATATCCGTTCTATTTCAAGTCCTAGTACAATATGAACTATTCGATCGCACCACTTGCTTGGAATACCTTCACCCCGCCTAGACGGAAATTAAGTTGCCGCCTTCACTCTATTCCCTCCTTAAGTTGTTATTTATAGCAATAATACGGTTTTATCGCCTCTCTCCAAACAAGCTAGATAGTTACCATGTGTTCCAGTGAGCTGCCTCGAATGTGATTGTAGGTCAGGTGCGCTTATTGTGACACACTGGCTGCAGTGACTTGCGCTACATATGCTACAGGCACCTGCGATTGTGTGTTAAGGAGAGGCTTTCGGTGGCTTTTTATCAAGCCATACATAAAGAAATTGTACGGATTGTTTTGAGACTCACTCCTATCCGATGCATTCAACAGCTGAAAGCAGAAAATAGAGTGCCACAATTGAACGAGTTGGACGTATCGTCTCTCTCTCTCTCTCTCCTCTCCGTGTGCGCCTTGGGAACTAGAGCTACATCGACAAACTAAAGCGACTTCGCGTTTGGCAGTATCAATTCGTCTTGTAGGACGCGAACGGGAGCTTTCGTGGGCCTCACCCACGTAGCCATGTGTTCCGACGAGCATAGCTGAAGTGTTTGACTCAAACTATATTCGTGATGATGTCTGATCAACAGCGAGGACCAGATTAAGTTAGGAAAGACCACCGCGAGTTAATGTTTGCGACGCACACTGGAGGATGGGGCTTTTGCTGAAGCCAGAAAGAAACTAGACAATAGAAATGGCATGAAAATAAAGCTGCGATTCTTCAAAGTTCACTCGAGCGACGTGCTACTCAGCAAATGAAGAAAGACGATGTGGCCCAAATTCAACCGTTTCCACGCCCATGGCTTGCAGCTGTTTAATGCTGTCTGCTAAACGCTTCTCCTACCACTCCATCCTATAAGCTTATGATGGAACGGTCGGGAGTCACATTGCTTGCGGCATACAGAGGGAGTGGAGTAGAGATTGTAACAGCCCGAAAAGTTCGAACGTATTCAGAACCAGTAAGTCACTTTGCTTCCGTATAGAGTGAGTGGTGTCTACACTCGCGCACGATCAAGCAATAGCAACCAAGCGGTTCGGATAGGTGTTTGTGCAACTAAACAATTAGTATAGATAGACAATTGGTATACGCTCGTTTGACATCATGGGTTTGTCAAGATTAATCCGTTATTGGAATCTGTATTCGCATGCGTTCCCCTCAGTACCAGCTTTTCAATGAGTTACACTTGCGTAGCCAAATGGACCGTCAGTCTTTCAAAACACTTACTTACCAACAACCAATGTGCACTACCTCAGTCCACTTCACCCTCCCTCTTTCTCTCTCTTCAGCCTGTGTCCCATCCATCGAAGTTCGAGGCAAAGATCCGTGCAAAAATGGTCGCCAATTGGTTCACTTTCAAAGATGGAAGTTGGTGAATTGTGTGTGCTCCCCGGTGCGATACACCAAGGAGTTGCCTTGTCGTAAGTACTTCACTTGTCAACAGATGTATTGTCCCCAAAGCAGTTGTTTGATTCGTGTCCAACTCATAGAAGCTGCACGAGCTGGGCAAAAAGTAAACCTAATAAGAATTTTGTAGTTTTTTTATTTTAAGACTACTCCAAACAGTGCACCATATGAAGGGTGTTAGTCTTGGGGATTCACTACTTCTCCTACGCCTTACCCAGTTGTGTTTTGATTCTGGCTTAGTCAATGACGGACCTCGAAGTTGCATTAAGATTCGTTTTGTGCACACTGAAGCTGGTCCCTTGTACTCCACTGCGATAGCAACAGCGCCATCCATCCAATCTTTGTTTCGTCGATTTTCATTTTCCTTTTGTGACAGCTTGCCAGCGAAGCCACATATCCAATGAGACTTGCAGTGGGCATCAGCTCAGTAACCGAATTCAAACAATCACCTATGAACGACGTGTTGGGGATCGCTGTGAGACGCATAGGGTGCGTGTGCCTGTCCGCACGTGTGCAACGAAAACGCTCAATAGCGTACTACCTAACACAACAGATCATGAGTATCTGAGACGGAGCGCACGTTCAGTTGAGGCCGGTAAGTTCTGTCGATCTAGAGGATACCGCTTTCTTTTCCCCCTAACTGCCTATTAGAGTTAAAGTCGTTCAACTCTTCACCCACTTAATTCCTCAACATTGTAGCAATATTTACGACGGCATGAGAAAAAACGACTGAACAGCTCTGGGAAACTTACACTTTACCAAACTGCCCTGACGTAAAAATCCCACCCACAACAAGTGGAGACTATAACAGCAGCTCCCGCTCGAAACCCGTTGGATCCAGTGATTAAGGTCCAACGATGTCGATGTACCATCTGAATTTCCGAAAAATCTATTCCGATTTGCCATCGATAGAATTGCAATAAGTTTCAACCAGGGAACTTCGTACTAAAGTTCTACTTATAGCAAGGTATATATGCGGATATATATATATATATATATATATATGCGTACGTATATGTATACTTATATGTTTTCTGAATTCCTCGTAGTTCTATACGCTATCCTGTGGAATCGGCTACCATTTACAGTCAAATCATTGGATAACGCAGCGGCATTTCACAATAAGCTCGAAAGTTTGCTTCAAAGCAAACTGTGGCCTCATTACAGTTTGTGTGTCGCAATCCAGACACATGACGGGTACTCCAAGACTCAGGAATAAGCTCGAAAGTTGTGTCACTCGACGATGTGTTTCAGAAATGGACAGCTAACGCTTAACAAGTGGAAAGCTATGATATTCACAACATGTAACCTAATCTACATTTTTGTGGTGCCCTCGAGATGCATCAATAGCATTCACCAAATCCGGAAATCATAATTATTATATGCAACAAAGAAAATTCGAAACGCTGATGTGCTAATGAATCCCTTTATCTGCAAACCACCAGTGGCTTGGTGAAACGCGAATATGGATTAGGGAGCAACGTTTCCATACATTATTTCGGCAAAGTATAGTCCTATGAATAGTATACTGTGCTAGAAACACCCTTAGGCAACGAAGTTCGTAACCATCTTCTGACAAGTACGAGTCCGGTATTTGCACAAAAGGATTTGTGCAATGTATGGAATTCGTTCCTTGTACGTTGCATATTGCATCTATAATTGTTCCTATGAGCTTTATTGTTATTCACAACAGTCAGTGTTGAAACCGTTGAATGAGCCCAGAACGGATGAAGTGGATATGCACTGCCTTTTCCTATATCCAGATATATAGGCGCCTCAAAATGGCGGTAGGGAGTCTTCATCGAGCTCCATCGATTCTTCCTTTTACTTTCTTAAGGCAGACTCAACAACTGGGCACTAATTACAGGCGTTATCTAAAACTTTCGCTTGACCTGTAGTTGTTTTGCAGCCTAGAGATGCCCAGTCCATTGTATACCACTGGAAACCCCAAATAAGAATATCATAAAACGGTTATGGGATAAGCAAAGTAAATTACGATGCATCATTCACAGTCTACATACTCTAAGCCAGGGATGTCCAAAGTCTGGCCCCCGTTAATATTTCAACGTGCTCGCGACCGAAAGATGAAGCAATAAATTTAGGTTTGGACTTTTTTCGTGCATGTGTAATTTTTTTTATTAGCTTAATGTCAAAGTGAATATGGCTCGACATATTTCTACTTCACAACATGTGGCCCTCCTTGCAAGAAATGTAGACACTCCTGCTCATCAAACAATTTCTTGATGCTATGGCCGTCGCAGAGGATAATAAACGACGCCCTATCTGCTGCATCGAGCAGGATGGATAAGGGTATGGATGCTACTGCTCCAGCCTTCCCGTCTTCTTACCCCTCTTCTTGCGCTTCTTCATTATTTTCGTCTCGCTCCAACTTTACTTTTATCCCCCCTGTTTTCAATCCCCCAATTCTTGGCCTTCCCCCAGCTTGCTTCAATAGTCGCTTGCTTTTTAAGTTTCAAATCACACACAGTCGCAGGGCGTCACTCCAATCCAGTCGACAAGTCCATGTTCAACAAGCAAACATCGTCAATTCATGCGTTACACTTTGGAGTCCTCGATCCTAGCTAAGACTGATTGCCTCAACGTGCGCACTTTGCTACAGATTGGCCAACTGGCAGCACTTGCGCGTACAATAGACACCCTGTCGATCGATATTTGCTGTTTATCAGAAACCCACCTGCAAGATTCGAGCTCTGTGGTTGCCCTGCGATCCCCCACATGCGACACTGGTGGCACATTCTCATTGCGCCTGTCTGGCGATGATGCAGCTTCAAATGCCGGTCAAGCTGGCGTCTGCATTGTTTTGAGTCCCCGGACTGAAGCTGCCCTAATCGCTTGGATCCCAGTAAACAGTAGTATGTTCGCCGTTAGACTAGCCGGTTTGTTCCATGTTGCGAAGTCGCGCGGGGACAAACGGTGCCTGTTTGTCATTGCGGCCTACGCCCCTCCAAACTGTAACACTGATTCGGTAAAAGACGATTTCTATCAGCAACTTCACGAGCTCCTTCGTTACAGAAGAAGAAGCAGGGATACTGTGGTGTTGGCTGGCGACCTAAACGCCCAAGTCGGAAAATTGTCCTCTGACATGCTTCATATGTGTGGCCAACATGGTGTAGGCTCCCGTAATGATAACGGTGAAAGCTTGCTACAGTTTTGTGAAGATGCTCTCCTCTTTCTCGCCAGCACTAATTTTCGACACAGCACCCGCAGTAGCGTAACTTGGTGGCCACCAGTCTCGAGTCAGCCATGGACGCAAATCGATCATATCTCGATTAGCTACCACTGGAGAGGCTGTGTCCAAAACTGTCGCTTGAGTTGGAGCACGAGCGTGGACTCTGTCCACACACTTGTCTGCGCGGACCTGCGGGTGCGTTTCGGTGGACGTCTGCAACGTCGATGTGAACGGATTGACACCAGCCAGCTGGCGAAGCCATGTGTTCTGAATGTGTATCAAAGTGCGCTGACATCTGCGCTGAGTAAGCGTGCACTGAACACCGTCGAAGATCACAGGTCGCATATTCGTCACACGTTACTGTTAGCAGGCATATCTTCATGTGGCAAAGCAAATTGCCAACGTAGACAATGGGTCTCTACACAGTCTCTGGAACTTATGGATGCTGGCCGACATATTCCGGCTGAAAGCGAATACAATGAGACTCGCAATAATCTCAGGACAAAAGTACCTGCTAGCCTGAAGAAAGACCGCGAAACCTGGTGGTCTCATCGTGCCTCTGAGATGTAAACAGCCGCTACCGTTGGCAATCATCGTAAGTTATTCTGTCTGATACGGGAAACTGGCAGCCGGAGACCTGGTGTTAGCGAGACCATACGCGACGAGAGTGGGCAGCCGATCCACAGCCTGTCAAAATGCTTGGAGCGTTGGGCTGAACAGTTTGCAATTCAATTTAACCAACCTGAATTATCGGTTTCTTTTCGGGCATTAAGCGCCCTTCTCCCTGGGCCATCTCCTTGGATCCGTCCTCACGCGCAGAGGTCGAATGTGAGATCAGACTGTTGAAATTGGATAAGGCCGCAGGGATAGATAGAATTCCCCCCGCCCTCTTCAAATTCGGGGGACCTGCTCTAATAGATGATTTACACGAGTTGCTAGTGAAACTTTGGGAGCAGGAGACTGTCGCGGCAGACTTGAACCGCTCCGTCATTGTCCCAATTTTCAAGGGAAACTCCCGTTTGGAATGCGCCAATCATAGAGGGGTCAGTCTGCACTCAATTGCCTCTAAATTGCTTGCCTCTGTCATTCTCCACAGACTGGCTGGCACTCGTGAAAGCCAGATTCGTGAAGAGCAAGCCGGGTTTCGTCGAGGTCGGGGCTGCATCGACCACATCTTCACCTTGCGTCAATTGTTGGAGCACCGCCATGTTTATTGGCGACCCACGGTTGTCGTGTTTTTTGACATAAAAGGTGCCTTCGACTCAGTCGATTGATGTGACCTTTGGGACTGTCTGCTGAGGAAAGGTGTGTCCGATAAACATGTAAACATTATCAAACCGCTGTACGCGCATAGTTCGGGCAGAGTGATGGTTTGTGGCAAACTGTCGCCACCCTTCAGTATCACCAGCGATGTGAGACAAGGTTGCCCGCTGTCACCTTTCCTCTTTAACTTCGTTATTGATGAAGTCATAGAAACAGCGTTCGCTAGACACGACCTAGAAGGTGTGGAGCTACTTCCTAATGAGCGACTTCTTGACTTAGAGTATGCGGACGATATTGCCCTAGTCTGTGACAGCTCCCAAACATGCCAAGCAGCACTGGACCGATTAGCACTGACTGTCAATCGTTTCGGGCTATGCTTTGCTCCATTGAAATGCAAAGTACTTCTCCAAGATTGGCAGGGACCCAACCCTGCGCTAACGCTTTTTGGTGATCGACTATAAGTAGTTCATGAATTCAAGTACCTGGGCAGCTATAGTAGCACCCGTGGGATTAAAGGTGAGGTTTCGAACCGTATAGAAAAAGCTCGAGTTGCTTTTGCCAATCTCCGCCACCTGTGACGCCGACGCGACATTACTCTGGCCCTGCATGTCAGAGTTTATAAGGCAGCCGTCCGTTCAACTCTCCTATGTGGTTGTGAAAGCTGGCCCTTCAGGTCGACAGACATAAAGAGGCTGGTCACATTCGATCATCGCTGCCTCCGCAGCTTAGGTCATGTCTGGTGGGAGCACCGCGTGAGCAATGAGCGTGTTCGGCGTCGCGTATTTGGTGCAGGAAATGCGAGTGAACCGCTCAGCACCATTATATCACGCCCCAGGCTCCGATGCTTGGGTCACGTGTTGTGCATGCCAGCACACCGACTTCCGCGACGTGCATTGTTTACGCGTTGTGGGTACGGTTGGAAGAGTAGGAGGGGAGGCCAAGCGATGACTTGGTCGAGAGAGATGAAAACCCTCACTTCGAAGTTGGCGTCGGTTGATGCATCCCGACTGTCTGGTTGAGGTCCTAAGGACGGTGAACACGTTTGGTTGGACACACTTGCTGATATGGCTGGGAGCCGGCCCTAATAGCGTTTGTGTTGTGAGTTCCTTTGTCCATTCCCTTCTTGCTTAGCATCCCTCTCCAATCACGATCTCACTCGTTAGACATAATATAACACTCTTTACGGCACGATATTTAGCTGTTAGCTCTCCGGAATGATGTCCATCCGTTACTGGGGGCTCAGCCGGCGTGTCACTGTTTGTTTTCCTTTTGTTGTCTTTTGTATTGCGGCACAATAGCTGGGGTGTTTTCCACCTGCTGCTAACGTGTATAATGATGATGATGATACTCTAAGGCCTTGTTGTCAAACTCTTCTAGGCTATCCTTATTGCTTGTGTGCCCACCAGTGTCCCAAAAATAGCTGACAGTGACACTAAGCCTACCGTGGTAGGGTTCAAGACAAGAATAGTCAAACAGTTAAGCGCTGTCCGATTTCATGTGACAGTGTCTTGAATCCTTTGTTAGTTGCGTGTACGTGGCCGAGGAGTAAGCACGATAGGACAGTGTCATCCCGCTTTGTCTTGGTATATTCTTATTCAGAATTATAACTGCAGTTGCATGTTTCCAATTTCCTAATGAAAACTGTTGTTTCGGAATGAAACTCATCGTTGCCAAGCGTAGCTAGACAATACCTGAGCACTAGAAACTTGGAAGAGCTTTACATGCTGCACAATTGACGTATTCTCATTATAAAGTTGTAAGCTACCAATTCAAGCGTTTTCAATACTGGCAGATCCTCAAGTTGTATTCTACTCCAAGTGTGATTGCGGAAGGCTACTCTTGTACAAGATGTCTTCACATTTTGGACGGAGGTCAAATTCTCACTTGCGATTCCCTTAGACTCATGACAAAACCACGCGATTTGGAGAAAATACAGCCTGTGCTTACTATATGCCGTTTGGAGAGGTCGTTGCGCAAAACGTTTGGCTTAGCTTTGCATGGGAACTCATCACGCATGGGCTGTTTCAGACATAACCGAAAGTAACTTCCGCACTTTTGTTGAAGAGCTAACACTAGTGCTCCATTTGTCAGCATAGTCATGTCGTTTTTGACTAACTAGTGAGGTACCACAAATTTTGTTTTCAGCTACCACACAGTGTGGAGAGAATCAAGTGTTCTCCTTCAGTCCAAATCCTTGTGCTGAGACGTGCGAGCAGATCCTTTTTGGCAAGCCCAGCGTTTGCAAATCAACGCCCCAGCAACCGGGCTGTGAATGCCGGGTTGGCTACGTATTAGATGGTGTACTCTGCGTTCCCCCGAGTCAGTGTGGCTGCCTCAATTCACGTGAGTTCTTCTTAATATTTGTGTCCACTTTGCATACTGAGCCTTGGACCACCCCGGTGGTCCCAAAACTCCGACGTGCATGGAACCCGTGAATTAATAAAACACCTTTGAAATAAATGAGAATATGCGTAGCTCGGGGTGTGGATGCGGATTTTGAGCGGTTCTCCGAGCTGAGTGATTAGTGTGCAGACGTTTCGTTGCCTGACTAGGCAACACCTTTTCCTGGATATGAAAGTGCGGGTTTGAGCCGTTACATATGTAGTGGCATTTCCTCCCTCCTTTAGCCACTGTGTAGGTATACTTTAACTTGCACCGTGACAAAATCAGGTCCTTTCGCTATCCCAAGTTCATCTCTTTCAACTTGTAGGGAACTTGATTTAACTTCTTAGAAAGGTTGTAGTGCAAATCGATTTCAGATATGCTTGTATTGTGACAACTTTTCATTAATGACACAATACAAATGTATACGAAGCCGAATTATATTCTAATTTACGGAATTATGAAATCCTAATCAGTTCCATTGTCATTGCCTTTCTATAAGGTACCCTAGAACCGACACAGACAGATGCTACGTTTGAGTATGGTCTGTGCCACACGTGACATTCAATCACAGTCAAGTCAGCTGATAGCTTGTTGACACTACCAGTCAGGAGATTCTAGTCAAGTCAAGGAAAGCTTTATGCACCTAGATGGATGCATTTGCAGCATTTTACACTATCTACCACAAATGTGGTAATAAACAGCAGCAGTAAATGTGAGAATTTTACAATTTTAAAAGCAGGATGAGTAAAGAATGCACATCTTTGAGCAACGACCGCATATTGGTAGAATGAGTTTTATGACTATTCATCCAGTTGACGAGGTCAACAGTTGTTAAAACGTTTATTGATATCTCGTTTCATTTGGATAAATGCAGCAAACTGCGAGTTATGCGCGGTGTCTCGGATACTTTTTCAAAGAATCGGTGGAGTTGAGCCGCCTCAGTGACCTTGATATTGTTTAGCCATGGAATTCGTTAAAATATTCATACAAAACTGTTACGTTTGCAGTAGATAGCACAAACTTGATGTTTCAAGGGTGAACAGCTTCGACCAATGCAAAGGCCCCGCCTTTCTTGACCACACTTTAGTTTGTATGCTCTACCTCTCCCCGGAATCTATGTCAAATGTCATCTGAAACAAAGAATTGGGGAAAGCGGATGGAAATTTGTTGTCGACCGCCCGAAAACACTGCGCTCAACCTGAGCATTATCTGACCTTAGGTACCAGCGCATGCTGACTCGACGGCACATGTTGACACCAGTGCGGCAAACAGGCGCAGCATTGATGCGCATCTGTGCCCGCCCCCTGTCATGGACATGAATTTTATTCTCCGCTTCCTAGTTGCACGAATTCACCACAGCTTGCCTGTCAGCTTCCTTGATTCGCCACTACTTTCCAATGGACTACACTGATTGCTATCAGTCTTAAGCCTTTTCACCCTCCACTCGGCATCTGCTCAGTTGACTAGGATGCAGTGGGACGCATCTAGTCGTAGATTTCGCGCAAACTGCCTGCCGCAGTGTTAACGCGCCCAATACTTGTACGCGCTACGAACTGAGTATCTTGAAGCAACCGCCATCAATATTTTTACACCATCTTGAGATCAAAGTATCGTTTGACAGTCACCATCGCTCACACTGATAGCTGTCGATTACCTGTGAACGCGTGATCAACACAAATGTTGGGAGGTAATGCGCTACAGTGTCAAATTGATATTCCAGTTGGTCGCCAAAATCGTACGCTTAACTTCCAAAACTTCTCGCGCCTGAGACAATTGCATTTAGAGAAAGGCCGTTTCTCTTCCCAACCTCCTTCAATCGGTACATGTTCGCGTAACACTATGGCCCACTCTTCTCTGGTGTTTACTGAAGTAGCTTATAGTGATCCGTTCGTGAGTTGGGGGCGACGGCTAGTTCCAACAGGTCGATACGGCCGATTTCAAGTGGGACAAGCTGGTGTTACTCTCCACGACTTTTCATTTCGCGTTTATCCAAGCTACTTGTAAGAGGCCAATTAGAGTCTGGGAGATTTGAATGAATAAGTCGTTGTATACTTTCCGATGAAAAGGTTGCATGAATTTGTGACAAGTGGGTCTACACTGCAGGACCGTTCACTGCTTCCGTCAATGTGCTGGTAGCGCTCAGGTCTGTCCAGCGCATAGACCATGGGGGTTGCACATGTTAGCCACACTAGTAATCAACACTTCAAAACTGGTCTATCGAGATCAATTCCCCACAATGCATCCAAGTGGTCTGCTTAATGCCTACTTGCTTAAAAGGAAAATCAAAAGGACGCCTTGGTTGCACTCTCCGTCTCCTCGACAGGTTACACGCATGTATTAGTTCTAAAGTTTCTGCTCTGAAGCAGATTTTTAGCGATCTATTCGTTTGAATGAATCCCTTCTCGTTTAACTCTGTTACTTTTATCACAGTGTGTATCGATCGCGCTCCGTTGGACTTGTGCCGGAAATGGAAAGCCGAAGGGCGGTGCACCAGTGATCGGGACGGTATGAACAAAGTTTGCAGAGCCACATGTCAAGGCTGCCACCAGCCATGCCAGGATCAGATAGCCACGGTGCAGTGCGAACGCTTGAAACAGCAGGGCAAATGCCGTGAGGAGTTCTATCGACTGATCTGTCGGCTGACCTGCTCACCACAGGATTGCAGTAAGTCACCTTATGTACAGTGAGCAATGATTTGTAACGGGCAAACAAGCGAATGCTTGACACACCCTTAGGATGACCGGAGTACGGATTACAAAATAAACGTTAAAATTACAGGAAAATTGTGAAAATTCGGATTTATGGTGGCTCACCGAGTTATGTTTCGGGTTTTGGAGCACCCACTGTGTGTCGTGGAGAATGCGGCACGCAATCTCAATCATGGTCTGGGTTGACTTTACAGTTAGTCTCTGCCAATACGGTCACTAGGACCGTCACCAAAGTGGGGAGTTTCGGTGTGGCTCTCTCCAAGGGATGGAGGAGAGGTTCACCGCGTTATTCACATGAATGACTCCGCTGCGTAACCTAGAGGCCTTATGAGCATTGTGTTTACCTTGAGTTATTTCGTATTGAGATGGAACCGCAGTAGGTCACGTAAGGTCAATTGATTAAGGTGTAGTCAAGTCGCTTTTTAAAAAACGTCAATGTTGGGCAAAACTAATGTGACTTGGATAAGCATTCTAAATTTGGGGTAACCGAAGGGAGAAATAGTTTGGTCGGCAATCAAGTCGACAGCAGTGTGTGACCGCTTTAAACTCGTGGCCTCTCAGGTTAGTATTATGGTTGAATTGCAGCAGGTCGCCAGAGGCTTGACTTGGTTTTGCCATTATCTAGTACACTGTGCAAAAGTCTTCTCACAGACGTGGATATTCACCAATGTATAAGCCTAGGGCTTGCAGTTTCCGTTGGTAGGGGAGTTAAAACCTTCCTCTAACGATTTTAGTCGCCCCACGTCTTGGCGTTTCAAGCGTACCAATATCATGGTTTCGCCAAGGTCGCCAGGCTTGGGTCGTGCATTCCACGTGGGGCTTCATGTACGCGTTCAGCGTTTGTGGTAAGTTAGATGACTCGAACTTGCTGAACGTACTTTGTAAGAGTCTAAATTGCTGACCGTCTCTTCTCGATGTCTTTCAGCCAGTTCCGAGCAGCCAAGATCACCTCGCACTATTATAACGATGTTGTTTTCTTACATAGCCTGTTGCAACTGCTGTTCTCCCTGTTTTTATTCATGCATACACTGAGGGCGTTTGCTCCCAACGTTGCATTTTGTCATGCTACACTGAGGCCGGTCTTCGGATGACAACACATATAAGTCTTACCGATAGGTTTTTTGCAGTGTCGCGTGATTGTCCACTGTCTTGATGTCATGCTAAATCTTTACATCATGTGCAAATAGTAGGAAGTTCGATTGGAGTACACTGACAAGCTGGTTGGTTTACATTAAGAATAAACATGGTCCCAGCACCGGTCCTTGGAGCACACCACACTGGACTTCAAATGGGTCGGAAATGGAGCTGCGGACTGTCACATTCATCTGACGTTAAATGAGGAAATTGCTCACCCAACCCAGGACAGTATCAGCGATTCCATGGCTTCGAAGCGTGTGAAAGAGAACGCGGTGGTCACGGCGTTCGAACGCTTTAGAGTAATCCAGGTATATGACGCCGACTTCGACTCTGGCATCGACTAACTCCGTCCCGCTTGCTCAGGTTAGCAACAAGTTTGTTGTGCGTGGCCGATTTCGGCGGAATTCATGCTGTTGAGTCACTTTGATGCAAGAATGCATTCCATAAGTTTGAATAGCACCAGAAATAGAGTTAATGGACGGTAGTTCGAGGGCGCCGCACGATTCCCACTCTTATAAATAGAAGAGACATTTCTATGGGTCCATATTGTAGGAACATGCATTTCATCAAGGCTTCGTTGAAAAAACCGAGCTAACGCTCCGGCGATGTCCGTGGCGGCTGTCTTTAATGCCTTCGTTCTTATGTCATCCACTTCAGGATAGCTCTGCGCGCGCAAGCATAATAGTCTTTTCAACAGATTCGCTGCACTGAAGTATATGTGACTTGGCCCTGGGGGTGGTGAGAGCAGTATCAAAGCTAGCGAGATGAGGATTCACTCTTTAAGATGCAAATGAAGTGTTGCCGAAGCGTATTCACCGCCTCTTGCGTGGTTAGCGCGTACCTTCTACGGCACCTAGAACTGGGATTCCGTGCTGCGCTCTCCAGAGGTTGTTGATGTGCCTGTACAGCATCCTACGACTGGCTCAACTTTTCGTCGCTAATTTCTTTCGGTGTTTAAATATGTCTTCGCGGACCAATTTGACACACTAATTTCGCTGGGTTGAGTATGCATCCCAGACCTGCGCATCCAGATAGGTGTTATAAGCGCGCTAGACCGAATCCCTTAAAGCCAAGCAATTTAGAGTCCGGCCCCTCAAGAAGGACTTAGTTTGCTTGGGGAGAAAAAGTGGTTTCCAGCTCATTTGCTACTAATCAGGTGGAATGGGTGACAGATTCCCTCCGGGAGAACTCGGGAGGCTCCTCAGCTAGGAAAGACTAGTTGGTTGCTTGAACGTGGCCAGACAGTATGCCGCAAGGAGTGTCGACGTGGACTATTTTGTTGTAGCCTCAAGCCCCCGGTGTTTACTAGTGGCCAAATACATTTGGGTTTTAATGCCGAAACAATTAAGAGTCCGGTGACTTCAGAATGCAGTCGGTATTTTGACCTTCTGCCCCGGTACCGTGATTTCCCGCTTATCCTCATGTGACACACATAAGTGGATGCGATGTTCCTCTCAAAGAAGACCCGCGCTATTTGATTGGTCATTTTGAAGTACTTATTCAGGACCAGTAGTCCACATTGAAGTGAATCCTGGTCAGTACGATCGCTGGGACCGTAGCCGAAGCAGATAGAAATTGGGTGTTGCCCTCCCGAAAACACTGCACAACCACAACACGTTTCGATCACATTTGATCGCAATAGGTGGAAGTAGAAAGCCTCGAACCTGAGATCATTGGGATGTTAGTTGCCATGGCCACTGCGTCTGGAGGGGAAAGGCTTGGCACAGCGGTTAATGACTTATTGGAGGATCATTTTGAATTATTCGCTGTGTAGATGGATTGTGCCGCACAATTCCAATGTGGACCTCGATTCCTATTGAAGTTCCAAAATGGATTGTCAAAGTACTGGAACCAGTATGTAGAGAGCTATCCATAGATTCTCTGAAAGACTCATTTGAATTTACTGCGAAAGTTAAAGACTTGACGGTAGGCAGCAAGTTGCTGCTCTCCTTTGATGTGGAGTCACGTTTTACTAACCTCTCGTTACTTGAGACAGCCATCTTCATTTGCGAATACATAACTGAAGAAGAAATTAATTTCGGCACTCGAGGGACAAAACTAAGCGAACTGATCTTGTGATCCGCATTCAACAGACAGTTCTTGTTTCGCGGAGTCTATTATCGGCAGATCGATGGAGCTGCTATGGGTTCGCCCCTAGGACCTCTTCTCTCAGACGTCTTTCTCGCTACAATTGAATGTGGTCCTACACAAGCTGTTTTTGCGTTATTGGATTTCTAGTGCAGCTTCATGGACGACACATTTGTTGTCTGTGGCTCTAACATTGGCTTCGCTGGCTTACTTGACCAGCTCAACGCTGCACACTCATCACTGAGGTTCACTAAAAAATTTGAACGAGAAGAACAGTTGGCGTTCTTGAATGTACTATTGAAGAGGCGGGAAGACGGTTCTTTTGAGAGAAGTGTCTTCCGGAAAGCTACGTGGGTGAGAGTCTACACGCATTTTCTAAGTTTCGTGCCTTTGAGGTATAAACGTAACTTTGTTCGCTGCTTGTATTGCCACGACTCCAAAACGTGCAGTCCTGAGTCCGTAGAAAAAGAGAAATAACGCACATTCGAAACGCTAATTTCAAATGGAAACCCTGCCACATTTATCAAAAAGCATGCTACAATCTGTGAACACAGTGTGCCTGTGATCACAATCCCAAAAAAGCATGTGCTTTTTACGGTTCCCTTTAAGGGAACATCGCTTTCGACCTGTTGAGTAGAAGAGTTTCCACAGGGATGACCAAAACCTATCCTACAGCGAATCCGCACGTGCTTACCGAGATCACCCCATTTATTGCTCAGCGCCTTAAGGACAGATTGCCGGTCAAGTCTGAATTGTACGTGATATATTAGTTTAATTGCAGCTGTGGTGCAATGTACCTCGGACATACGACCAGGCGTCTGTAGACATGGATAGCTGAGCACTGTGGTGGGTCTCTGCGGAAAGGTATCGTCGGAGGTATCAGGAGTTCTATGCTTGAACATTTGGTTCAAAGCGCACACGAACTTCCGACGAACGATGCTTTCGGTGTTTTCTACACAGTGCCAAAGCAATACACAAAGGGGCTTAGGAAGCGCCACCTAAGAATAGCCTGGACACTTGCGAGTAAGCTAACGCAACCAGAGCTTTGTAAGCAGAAGATGCTGTTGCAAGCTCTATATCTTAACCGTAGCAAGAAGCCTTCCGTATGGGACACTGAGGACGATCGAATGTGTTTTCACGTCTCGACCGAGTAATGTTTCGTAAAGAAGTCAGCGAGCTGTTCCCATAGGCATTATCTACGAATTTCCATAGACTCCTAAAATGTTATCTCAGCTTGGTGGTTGTTTCCAGTCACCACGGTAGTAAGCGAACGGAGAGGAAGACGGCATTATTTGTATTTCAAAAACGCTGACAGAAGCGCAGCTGTCCAAACCAACGAGAGCACGCGAGCGCTCAACTGAGCAATGCCAATAATAGTCTGCATTCAAGCACCAATAATTTTAGTCAAGGCAGAGGGGTCGGAGACAGCGTAGACATCAGGGAGACAGTAATCCAACATTTGAAACAAAGACTTATAGAGCTTTTGGAGCTACCGATATGAAGCGATAAAGGAAGATCAATGAAAAATGGCAGTAAAATAGAGGTTTGCAAATGAGAAGTTTCGTATGATTGTGACTGGCTTTTCCGTTCTTCTGACAGAGTTCTAGGTGCATAACATTGGTTTCTTATGTCCCCGCAAACCAAAAACCGGAATCAAGAAGAAAGAGTTGATTCGGCTTCATCTTTGTGTATCTATCCGGTCGATTTACCACATTTGCAAAAGTGTGTCTCGGTCAATCCTGGTGCATGGCAGTCGTAACCAATCGAGTACCGTTCGGTTTTCTCTCCGAGAACAGTGTTAAGCAGGTAATCAGCAACTAAACGGCCCGCACTGTAATGCGGTTCATCTCCAGGACGTGTTCATTTGCACGGAGCTGAAAACATAGCGTTGTAGATCGCTCCTTGTGTCTGTCGATCTGCACTGCCTACTCAAGGAAACGCTGGGCATAAACTTCCACGCGTGTTGAACCAGTGGGACACATTGGGTGCATTGAAGTCTGATACGAGAGTTCGAAAATATGACAGCTACATTCAGCGTGACAAGGCTAATTTAAACTTTGATTTCTGCATCATGAATGCAACAGAAACCCGCTAACTGGCTATTATGTTTCGGCGGACTTATCACAGGTGACATCTTTTCGGATCCTGCAGTGGTTTTACTTCTATTCACAAATTTATTATGGCTAGTATAAAGTAGATTTCATATGTTAGCACGTGGCGATCTTAGTGTCAAACTGTGACTTCTTTTAGTGTGGCAACCCATGGCGTTACAGCTACAACGAATGATTTATCAGTCTCGACACAATGGGAGATTATTGTTCCTCCGTGTTATACCTTTGTGACCAAGGTGATATACTTTAGGATTTATTAATGTCGAACCATGGATATCTAGGCGTTCTCCATGGCTAATTCTAGTCGAGCTTAATCTGAACTATGTTATGGTGCTTCCCAACTACCCTGTTCCTTCAGACTGCCGCCGGTTACAGCACTTACGCACGTGCTTGTGTGTAAGCGGGTACCATTTACCGTAACTACATATGGCTCTCTAGCCATGACCATGAAAAACGCGATAGGTCAAACAAATAACTAGTGCATTTAGTTATATAGCAATATTCTCTGTATATCATTGTCGGTTCTGGAACAGGGAATAGAACTTGGTGACACATGGGATATTCATCGGCAGTTCCATTTGTGAGTTGCTCGTTCCCCGATAGCCAACTTGCTACTGAGTAGATTGCCTGCAGATGAATCGGTCCTGGTATGCTCAAGCTCGTGTTCACTCCCTCGAACTCCATCATCAAACTGAGCAAATCCAGTGAGTATTCTCCTCCTCCTCCAGGTTGCCCACCATGCCGACAGGAGATTGGGACCTGCAATCCACACACAAAGAACTTAGAAGTCACTCACACGTGCTTTCGATTACAACGTGATGGAAGGTGTACCCCAGTGGTAACCAGGAGTTTCAAACCTTGTGGAGGTTAGTCATCCGAAGTAAACATTCCGTTTGGTTTCATAAAAGCAGTTTATTATTCTAATTCTTCCACTCAGCCGCCACAGCATATCATCTAACAATGGCGAGCAGGTGGTCGGTGGTGCGACTGCTTCCTATAGTCGATACTACTAGTTCAACTGTGCAAAACTGCTAGTTCCACTGTCGGAACGGTGCTGCCGCCCTCTACGACCAATCGACTACTGTAGACCAAAGATGTGTAGTGTACCTGAAAACACACTTTCAGTATTTTGCAACGTTGGATTTTACCGTTGTTTTTACCTACAAAACATCCACTTGTTTTACTGACTGCACTTCGGTGTTCCCAAATTGCTTTGGTGAGTACCTTGCTGCACCGTTTCTCGCTCTCGTTGGTTCGCTTCCTATTTTTGTAGACTGCACAATAAACGTTGGGTTCACTTGCCTTCGAATTCTATACTGTCCCGTAGTTGACACATCTCTTATGTGTTAATGATTATCGACTATTATCCCAGGCGCCACACAACAGATGTCCAAAGTCCGGCCCGCGGGCCAAATGCGGCCCGCGTTAACATTGCAACTGATCCACGGCCTCGTAATGAAATAATAAATTCGAGCCTAGATATTTTTTTCCTACAGTGGATCTTATACAGCTTACCAAAATAAGAATGTTATGAGTACGAAACGCAATGGTGTCAGATGCTGGCAAAAATCAACGCTACGCTGTTTATTTGTAACTAACTAGAAAAAGTTATTCGAGTGCTTCTACTTAAGGGCTTTTAACTAAATTAAGAAATAATGATTTCAAGTGCTCAGTTTCACCCTTCAGATTAAACACGTAACAAAATATTTATGACCTGTGTAATTTTTGTTATTATCTTACTTTCAGACTGAATATGGCCCGACATATTTTACCTCACAAAATGTGGCCCCCTTTGCTAAAAGTTTCGACACCCCTGCTGTGTAGGCCAACCACACAAGCTATGTTCTCTAGCTACCCCCATCCTGTCGCTCGTGACTGGGTATTTGTGACTACGACTGACAGTTATGGTCAAATGTGGTTGAAAGCATTTTGTGGAAAAGTACCACATGCTGTTGTATGGATTGGCGCAACAGCCGGTCCTTCAGGAGCAATATTTGTTGGACAAGGTCGATTCCGTGAAACTAGAGCATGCTTCACACGCCAAACGCCACGAGATACATCGTACGTGCACCCATAACAATAACAACCCTTTGGGGCAGACGAGTCTCACCAGCTGACAAGATTAAGCGACGGAAAATCTACTGTAGCGCGCGCGAGCATCAGCCAATCAGCGTCCAACGGTCGAACCGTTAGGTTTATCGCATTGGCTACCTGGCTTGCTCCTTGGATCCATGACTACACTGATTGGACGATCCCATCACATGGATATAGTCAACTGAGCGAGCGTGCGCTTCCAAATCCATACTCAACAAGCTGTTGCAGATTTAACGCTTGTGTTCTTTCAGGTGTTCCATACCTAAGCCGAGCTACTTAACAA